GGCCACAGAGGCGTACAGCCCCTTCTCGGTCCGTATTTACGGAAACAGCTTGTTTCCTTTGCAGGAGCGGTGGGGCCACTTCCTTTCGCTTGTCCTCTCGCGCTTGTTCTTCCACGCTCACATCCGGATCTGGTCTTTTGCCGCACTTCGCGTCCTGAATGCGAGCTAAATGAGGTGTCTTCGACGCCGTTTTGATCAATGCAGGTATGGCCATAGTGCTTCGGACCTCGATGTTCGCCGCAGCCTGAAGGTGCCTTCTATTGATTGTGTGCTCAGGTGCAAACGATTGGTGTACTTTGGCAGGGTCGTCCGCCAGGGTCCCACCGAGCTGCACTCACTTCTCGCTCTTTCCCCTCCTCTGCTCGTCTCCCTTGGGTGCAGCTTGTGCTGGAGGACCTGCAGTTTTTGTGGCGGATGTCGGCTCTGTGCTCTGGACTGCCTGACCCTTCAGAGTCTTTCGCCCCGTGGGTTCAATGCATTGTCGAGTCTCCAGCTCGCTTGTCTCACGCTGTCAATTGTATATTTTTCGTAGAGTCGGTGTTCGACCTTGGCACTCCTTCTCTCCCTCCGGCCAGCTCCCAAATTGCATTTTTCAGGTGTGATTTGTGTGATTGCGCCTTCGCCTCGGACAAGGCCTTGCGGTCGCATCGTCGTGCCAAACATGGCACCCGAGTATTCCAGCGGTTGTATTGCCTTGCGGACGGCACGTGCCAAGTCTGTGGCACGAGGTACTGGTCTCGTCTTCGATTACTTGCTCATCTGTGCGATTCTCGTCGTACCCGATGCTGGGCAGCCATATGCGCCAGGCCAGCGTCGTTCGTAAAACTTTAAGCTTCCGAGTTTTCTCGCCTTGACAGTATCGACAACGATCTGCGTCGCGAGGCCCGCCGCAGCGGTCATTCACACGCACTGGCTGTTGGGCAGGCTTTCACTTCCACTGGAAGGGCCGTGGGTCGCTGCATACGTTAGCGCCTCAGCCACGTTTTTTTGTTTATATATATATATATATATATGTATATATATCATTATACCATCTTGTGGCGGATTCGATCCAAGCCGCGAGGAATTATATATATATGTGTATATAAGTTTTATGTATGCACAGATGCACATACAGACTTGTACACACATATCCAGATACGTATATATAAGAAGTGCATATATATACACTCATGTACTCTCTCGCTTGCTGCTCGCTGGAAGGGTGGCCGCATGGCGACGCCATGGAATCTCGAAAAGGCCCGCCCAATGAGTACAATGACCATCGTGGCCGCCTGGTTGCCGATAGCATGGTTAAGATCCCAGCAGGGCTCCTGAAGGACGATATCATGCAGGTTACCAACAAGAAGCTGCCCAACACATAGTTTGGGGGCAAGCCAGGCGGAGGTACGGACTTCTCGTACGACGCCCTGAGGCTCCTCACAGTGTTTGCGGACGCGCACTCCATGGCGTGGTGCATCATCTTCTTTGATTTGGCGCAGACTTTCGACCGAGTCATCCTGGAGAGCGTATACGGCTGGCAGCCATGCTCGGGCCCTTGTTTGGCTCGTGATGCGGCTCGTGCAGGCTACCTCCGCCAGTGCGGCCTGCCGATCAGAGCTGCGACCAACCTGGTGTCCCACATCGACAAACACGGCTCGGTGTTCGAGCGCATTTCACATCAACCTGGCGGTCATTGCGCTCGCGCGCAGCTTTCATGACCGCTCGTGGTTCGCAGTGGAAGGGGCTGAACGAGTGGTCGTCGCGTCCATAGACGGCCGCCAACGCTTCAAATTAGGTGGCCTCATCTTTTGTTTCGTGTACGAGGAGCCCCTGGCAGCCATAGGCAGTGGCCTCAAGAAGGCCGGCATAACCCTGCGGGGACAGGCGACACCGTGAACCTCGCGGTTCAAGTCACTTACGTCGACGACGAAACGGTCGCCATAGTCGCCCGCTCCTCCACCTAGCTCCGCAAGGCCATCGGGACAGTGATCAACATATATGCAAAGGTGCTCGCCGAGTTCAGCCTTCGCATCAACTGTGCTATGGGCAAGAGCGAAGCTATCGTTCGCTGCCGCGGCCGGGGTGCCGCGACAGTCATTAAGGAGCTCAGGTCCGAGGACGGGCTCCGCATCCCGCTTGACGACGGTGCGACCGTCATGCGCGTGGTGGATGGATACTAGCTTTTCGGAGGCGTGATCTCCGCCAGCGGCAGCATGGTGCCAGTGGCGCGACAACGGGCTTTGTCGGCAACGTCTGCCTATTCCCCGATCGTGGCCAAGGTGTTTTCCTCGGTCGCCATCCGAGCATTTTATTTTGGTGGAGGGCAAAGGGTGAAATCAGACATGCCGTTTCGATTGGTTTTTCGATGCTTGATTCTGCAGGAGGTGAGTCACAAGACGGATTGATGTTCGAGGTGCAGGAGACCATATGGATTCCACCCTGAGCCCTTCACTGTAAGAAGATGCCCAGGTCATCGGCAACGCTTCATTTCACAGTTTGGTCATCGAGACTGGTGTGCAGCGCTGCCATCTGGACAATGTCTTGTCCGGCGCTCAAGCAGATAACCTGTCTTACGTGCACTCTCTGAGGCGCATTGCTGACGACGTCGAGGCACGGCGTGCGCTTGTTTTCTCTCGGGCTTCGACGTCCGCCAAAGGGTACAGACACCGTTCATCGACTGCTTGGTGCTGCGGACGCGCGTCTGCCCTCCGCAGCGTGAGGCGCGCCCGCATGTCAGGCCGCTGTCGTATATTGCGCAGCTGATCGCGGACCTCAGCCATCTCCTACGCATCGCTTCTGAGCTCGACGCCATGCCTGGCTGCACCGTGACCCCTGGCATGTGGCTTTCCCGCTTGAAAGATGATGAATGGCCCGCGATTGTGCGGTGCGTGCTCTTTTGTGAGTCATCGCTTGGTAAGGTGGCGGCACAAGGCTGCCAGGCCCTACCGCGTGTACAGTTATGCTGCTGTAGCTGCTACGCCCGTTCCCCGTTCAACAAAGCCTCGTTACAGCATAAGAGAGTCGCTCATCAGCAATTTGCCCCGATCAAGGCTTCAAGTGAGGATTCGGGCATGTGCCCGGCATGGGAAACAACAGTCTTCTGGAGCGGCATCGAGTCATTAGACACGTCATCGACGGCTGCCGCCCTGCTTGCCGCACCCATATCATGTCGACCCTGCCAGATCCAAGCCCTGAATGTGTAGCAGAATGGGGATCTCGCGACAACGAGCGAATCAGGCTGGCCAGAGAGCTGGCTCGACCCACATCCTGGCGGCCGGCCATGCGGTTACAGCCGCGGTCCGCCACATAGGACGGGTCACTGAATAGACGCAACAGGTGCTAATTTTTTGATGATCCACATTTTGATATGAACATCCTATCCCAGTGCGACCCTACCTAGGAATTGGAGCCCCTAGGAAAGCAGCATTAGTAGTATCAGTAAAGCTAAACCCAAACTAAGCTAAAACTAAGCTAGAGCTACGCTACAGCTAAGCTAAAGCGAAGCTAAGGCTTAGCTGAAGCTAAGCTAGAGCTAAGCTAAAGCGAAGCTAAAGCTAAGCTAAAGCTGCGCAAATTCTAAGCTACAGTTAAGCCAAAGCTAAGCTGAATCTAAGCTAGAGCTAAGCTAAAGCTAAGCTGAAGCTACGCTAAAGCTAAGCTAAAGCTAAGCTAAAGCTAAGCCAAAGCTAAGCTAAAGCTAAGCTAAAGCTAAGCTAACGCTAAGCTAGAGCTAAACCAAAGCTAAGCTGAAGCTAAGCTAGGGCTAAGTTAAAGCCCGGCTGAGGCTAAGGTAAGGCTAAACTAAAGCTAAGCTAAGGCTAAGCTAAAACTAAACTAGAGCTAAGCTAAAGCTAAGCTACGGCTAAACTAAAGCTAAGCTAAAACTAAGCTAAAGCTAAGCTAACGATAAGCTGAAGCTAAGCTAAAACTAAGCTAAAGCTACGCTAAGCTAAATCTAAGCTGAAAGCTAAAGGTAAAGCTAAAGCTAACGGTAAAGCTAAAGCTCCCAGGGGACTGGGGGAACCGCGGGGCGGATACTGGGGGAACCGCCCGGGGCGTTTTCCAATGCCAGGCCTTGTAAGCCCAGAGAGTAATAACCCTTCTAGGCAGAGCCTAGGTAGGGAATTTGTACGATGTGAAACAGAACGTATAGACATGTATGTATACTCACGCTGAACCAGAACATTTGTACATACATATATATATAAATATATATATATATATATATATATATATATATATATTCACACTCCTAATTACATACATGCATGCCCACTCATATGCATACAGTCACACAGCTAAGTACACACATGTATGTATATTTTTATATATATATATATACATATATGCACGTGTGTGTATATATATATATATGAATGTTTACGAAATATTCACACGTAGATTTATGCACGCGTATCTGTATACAACAATAAGAACTCATGTGGACGTCTAGTGGCCCTTTTCTATTCTCCCTTCCGTGCCTTGGTTGTGGGTCATTTGCCTTTTTCGATATTAGCTGGGATGTCGTCAGAGGCTTTTCGGAGCCTTTTTGAAACAGTTTTGGAGCCTCTTGGGGGCCGTTTCGGGGCCTTTTGGGGCGTCTTGGGCGCCAAGACATTTTGGGCGTCTGGGACCGGTCGTTCGGCGATCCTGGGCCCTTGTGGACCGTCTTCAGGGCATCTTTGGCGTTTTCGTGGCTCGTCTTGGGGCCCTCCTAGCTCCGTAAACGTCACGCGAGAGTACTCTCCGGGCCAAGAGGGCACGCACCACGCCCAAGACATTCTCGTAGTGTATTTCTGATTATGTACACATGGATGTACGTATGTACATTTATTTGTATGCATGTGTCTTTAATGTTTGTATGTAGGTATGCATCTATATACGTGCACATTGAGGGGGATATAGAGAGCAACCGTCAGACGGATGTTGTGATAGAGAGAGAGAGGGGGAGACTGACCACGACACAGCGAGAGAAACAAGCATATACATACGGAGCAAGCGCCAACCCGTGCGGGCAGGACCACCCCAAGAATGCCTGGTGCAAGAAGTGGTCTCGGACATACAGAAGGTCGTAGTTGGCGTCTGGGCCGTGGGATTGTTGGCTGGGCGTGCTTGGTAGCGCAGTGCGGGATCTCTTTAGTAGTGCCCACCGCGCCTGCTTAGCTGGCAGGGACCCAGGCGCGCCGCGCCGCAGTGTGCAGCGTGCGATGCGCTGCGAGGTGCATCCTCCGGATCGGCCGGAAAAGTCGGCCTGCATTGCTGTTAATTTTTATCGCGGGACGGAACGATGAAGACGAGGAGGACGAGGTGGAGTAAGAGGAGGAGTCGGAGGACGTGGAGGAGGAGGTTGGAGGAGAAGGAGGACTAGGAGGAGGCGGAGGAGGAGGCGGAGGAGGCGGGGGAGGAGGAGGAGTAGGAGGAGTATGAGGAGCAGGAAGAGGAGGAGGAGGAGGAGGAGGAGGAGGAGGAGGAGGAGGAGTAGGAGGAGGTGGATGACGAGGGGGTGGACGGGCAGGGAAATGTGGCGGAATTACGGCGAGGCCTATGAGTAATGGGTTATGGAGGAATTGGTGTTCATGACCCCCTCAAGGGAAGATGTCCACCCAGCAATATTTGTTTGTAACGGTACATCGTTGAGCAGTTCTGCAGCCTCTCCGAGCCTAGCTCCCCCGCCCCCCTTAAGCGGCAGACAGGCAAGTCTGCTTTGCACTCTCATGCCTTGCTGAGCCTTGGCGCTTTTCGGCGCCTTCTTCCCCAAACTCGCCATGGACACCGACGAGGAAGGAGCGGACATAGAAGATGATGAGGAGGAGGAGGATACATCAACGATGTTGTAATCAACCCTCCCTCCAAGGTCCCTTCTTATAGGCTCCTACAGCGGTTCATGTCCATCGAAGGAACTGCCTCGTTCGACTGGTGCGTCTTGACGATGAACTTGACTGGTGCGTCTTGACGATCCTGAATTGTACCAGAACGCCGTTCCTGGGACTTCAGCACAGCGAATCAACGTAACTGTTGCACCCGCGTGCTCCTGGATCCTGCCAAAACACCAGTGTGGTACGCTGATGATGGGACTCCGTGAAACTCTTGTATTTGTTTACAAAGAATGTGCGCCACGCTGAGGCGAGAGCCACACTTTGAAGAGGAACCGCCCGGAATCCGTGAAGTTCCTGCATTTTTTGTAGAATGCGCGCCGCGCTAAGGCGAGAACCACATTTTGAAAAGGACCCGCCTTCAATCTGTGAAACTCTTGCAATGTTTAAAAACGAATGTGCGCCACGCTAAGGCGAGAGCCACATTTTGAAAACCACCCGCCCTCCATTTGTGAAGCTGTTGCTAATTTGAAGCTTGAGAGTCGTAAATAGTGAGGACGTCTCAGGCGAACCGCCCGGACCGTCCTAAAACTGGCCTCGGGGTGCGACAGGGATAATTTTTTATAAGAAAAAGGACTGGAGGAGGAGAAGGACGACGAGGAGGAGGAGTGGCCGTGTTGCCGTGCCATTTCATTTTTGTGTCGGAGCGCTCTTGGACTTGCGCGGTCGATGTCGACAATTCTAGCCAGGCTTTCCGCGCAGGCGGTTTCAACTACGAGCTTTTGGTCGAGCATCCCCCCCTCCGCGTCGTCGCCCTGTTCGTCCCGTCCTCTTCCTCTACCTCCTCGGCCCTCCGACTCTTCGTCCTCCTCGTCGTCCTGGCCCTCCTCTGCTTCATCGTCGTCCTTGTCGTCCTCCTTATCCTCCCCCTCCTCTCCACATGGCCCGACCATCAGCGGCCTGAATAAGGTAGTAGAGGTTGGCAGACTTTCCAGGCTGTCTGGTCCTTTGCGCAGCTTCAGGGAGGACGGCGACGACGCAACAGAGGGCAGTACAGCAGTGGAGGAGAATGAGGAGGAGGAGGAGGCGGAGGAAGAACATGAGAGGGATACGGACGAGACGGAGGAGGTGGAGCAGGGGCAGGAGGAGGAGGAGGAGGAGGAGGAGCAGGAGAAGGAGGAGGGAGAGGAGTAGTAAGAAAAACATGAGAAGGATATGGACGAGAGGGAGGTGGAGGAGAAGGGGAAGGAGGAGGAGGAGCAGAACGACGCAGGAGTTGGAGAAGCAGGAGCAGCGGGATCCTCCTAGCGCGTGCCTGATTGGATTCTTGAGCAACCTGATGCGGCCAGGGAAGCGGGGATGGGAGCATGAGGGGCGTGAAGAAGATGATGATGCGGATGATGATGCTGCTGATGATGCCGATGATGGTGATGATGGGCGATGATGATGATGATGATGATGATGATGATGATGATGATGATGATGATGATGATGATGATGATGATGATGATGATGATGATGATGATGATGGTGATGGTGATGATGATGCTGGTGCTGGTGGTGACGATGGTGATGGTGATGACGACGGTGATGGTTTTGTTGATGATTGCGAAGGCCTTACGGCCGGTGCCGCCGACCCTGTTCGCAATGCGCAGCAAGAGGCACGGGCTGTGGGATGGTTTTGGGGAACGGGGAGAAGGACGAGAAGGTGGGGGAGGGAGGTGTCGTATCTGACCCGGGACTTCCCCGGGACTCCCCCGGGACCCCCCCCGGGACCCCCCCTCCCCCCCCCGTCGGGGAAGGGAAAGGGAAGGGGCTTCCCTTCGACTCAATTACGACGTTGCTCAAGGTCGGTACGGGGGGGGGGCGTCGTATCTGACCCGGGACTCCCCCGGGACCCCCCCCGGGACCCCCCCTCCCCCCCCCGTCGGGGAAGGGAAAGGGAAGGGGCTTCCCTTCGACTCAATTACGACGTTGCTCAAGGTCGGTACGGGGGGGGGGCGTCGTATCTGACCCGGGACTCCCCCGGGACCCCCCCCGGGACCCCCCCTCCCCCCCCCGTCGGGGAAGGGAAAGGGAAGGGGCTTCCCTTCGACTCAATTACGACGTTGCTCAAGGTCGGTACGGGGGGGCCGTCGTATCTGACCCGGGACTCCCCCGGGACCCCCCCCGGGACCCCCCCTCCCCCCCCCGTCGGGGAAGGGAAAGGGAAGGGGCTTCCCTTCGAATCAATTACGACGTTGCTGAAGGTCGGTTTGGCTAGCGCGCTTGAGGAGGAGGCCCTGGGAAAGGGCGAGGGGAGCGGGGAGGAGCCCAGGGGAAGAGGGGTACCAGGGAAAGGGAACGACAGAGACGACGATTACAAAGAATGACGGAGATGACGGCTCGAACGGAAAAGCCCCTCACACACGCCGACAGGGTCGGCGGATTTTGATGGCGATGGTGATGGTGATGGTGATGGCGCTGGCGATGTAGATGATGATGCTGATGATGCTGATGATGATGCTGATGCTGATGATTGATGATGGTGAAGATGCGGATGACGCTACGCATGATGATGCTGCTGATGCTGATGATTATGATTATGATCATCATGCTGATGATGCTGATTTTCATGCTGTGGATGCTGATGATGATGATACTGGTGATGCTGGTGGTGCTGATGATGATGGTGGTGACGATGATGGTGCTGATGATGCTGCTGGTGCCGATGCTGCTGCGGATGAAAAGCTGATGATGACAACGATGATGCTGGTGATGATGATGATGATGATGATGATGCTGATGATGATGATGATGATGATGATGATGATGATGATGATCATGATGAGGGTGATGATGACGATGATGATCCGGATGCTGATGATGATGCTGATAGTGATGTTGCTGATGATGTTAATCATGATGGTGATGCTGATGATGCCGCTGATGATGATATGATGATGCAGATGATGATTATGACGATGACGACGACGATGACGGTGGTTATATTGGTGCAGTGTGATGGTGATGAGGATGCTGTTGTTAATGATGATGATTCAGCTGATGACGATGACGATGGCACTGATTATGAGTATTGCTGCGGTTGTGGTGCTTATGGTGCTGCTTGTGACGCTGATGATGAGGAGGCCCAGCAGTGCTCCGACTTTAGTGCAGCCTGGAAGGAGTAAGGTTAGCCGCTTGACGGATTTAGAGCTTTGCATAATTTCGGGTGTTTGCCCTGCGCAGACCCGAAACCTTCATGAAGTATTGCGAATTTGATCGGCCCATTCCACAGGAGGAAACGACGTCGAAAGGGAGGACAAAAAGGAGGTGGAGGAGGACAAGCAGGAAGAAGAGGAGGAGGAGGAGGAGGAGGAGGAGGAGGAGGAGGAGTAGGGAGATTGGAGAAGGGGTGAAGGGAAGAGGGAGGAGAGGAAGGAGGAGGAGGAGGGGGAGGAGGAGGAGGAGGATGAGGAGGTGCAAGACCCTCCAATGACGTACCTGCGGGGATTCTAAAACAACCTGGTGCGGGCAGAGTTGGGGAAGACGTCGTGCAGTAGCAAGAGAGCAGTGCAGCACTTGTTTTAGAGCTTGATGCTCAAGATGAGCCAGCGGGTGTCCATGCCAGCACATTGTGTCGTATGTCTTCCCGTTCGTGTCAATCTCGTTCGGCTCCATCGTCGCGAAATCGCACGACATCAGCGCGCATTGACAGCAAGTCCACCCCGCCCCAGTTCGCCCGGACCACGTGTGGCCCTTTCGTTATGCGGTGCGTTCCCCAGTGACGAGACGGTGGGCAAGATTGCTCTATTCAAATGCTTCTCCCATTTTGCACGAAATTGCCGCCTACTCTGTTCTCTTCTTCCTGTACGCGCCTGTCCGCACCTGTCTAAGCTGCTCGCGGGCCTCGCCGGTGCGTGTCTCAAAATGCGGGCCTAGTGCACCCCTCCTTCGCATGGTTGGCAGTTCGCTGCCAATGAGACCCGTAGCTGTGTCATCGGTGATGGCTATCATCGCCGCGTCGAGTGGTAGCATCTTCGGTCGGCCTTTCACAGCCAGTGCCTGCAACCCAGCGAGTGCTACATCAGGACTGGCGCTGGCCCGCGGCCCAGCCCGCCGAGTCAGACGGTGTACCGGTGTGTGCTTCATCTTGTTCGATGGCCACGACGTTGCCCTCCGGCATGGCGCAAGGTGTCAAAGCAGCGAGCGGGATCGGGCTCTCCATGTCAGTGCGATCGACGCGCTCGCCATATTTGTTTATGGTTCGAGTCGTATGCAACTCCCGAGAGGTTGACCTCAGCATCGGCTCTGGGATGTCAGTGGTCGTAAGGACGGCCTGACCCGGCATTCTCCCATGCTCAATTGCGTTTCGTTTGGCTTGATGGCCCTCTGTTCGGGTCTAACAGCCCTTAATCCTCTGTTGTTCTCTCGAAGACGTCCCAGGAGTCGCTTCCTGAGTCAGTGCGCTCGGCACGCTCTCCATAACTGCCTCTTCCCCGATG